CGGCGGAAGAAGTACCGCAGCGGCCCCACGTGGATCATCTTCAGCGGCACCACCTTCGCGACGAGCTCGAACTCCACCGTCTTGTACGGGATCTCCGCAGGGAACAGCGCGTGCACGAAGAAATCCTCGACATCGGGGGGATGGGAATCGGCATCCTTCGCGCTTCCCCGACCCCGCCGGGTACGCCCGCCCCCGACTTTCGAACGCTTCCCCCCTTTGCCAATGTCATCCCCCAGCCCCGCGGCATCCTCGACGACGGAGTTCGAACCATTCATGTTGGAATGCGGGTGATGGCTGTGGAGGGAGGGGGAGCTGGTGGTGCCGTTGCCGTCTTTGGTCGCCACACGTGGGGCCCCGTTATCCCGCCAGGAGGCCATCGCGAAGAGTTCCTTCCCTTTTGAAATCGGGATAAACTCCGGTACCACTGCCATTATGAGTTAAGTCGTCGCGTGAGCTTTTCTGCCTTTTCTTTTTTTTCTCTCTTTTTTTTTTCCGGGTGGGTGGGTGGGCCGCTACCTCACCGGAACGAAGAATGAGAGGGCTGTGATAAAGACGGAAGTCTACGACAAGTTACCTTTTAGTTTAGTTAAGATCTGTTATGTTGATTAAAACAGTAAATACAAAATAAAATGTTAAAGTAGTACTCTTCGCCTATATTTGAAAGATCAATTTATTTTTTACGGGTACTTTCTTCGACTAAAGTACTCTAATGAGGTAGGTAAGGGTATAGTATAGATATAACTCGATGTCAAAGGAGCCTTGTACATACTCATGCATACATCTTATATTTATCCACTATTTTACTTTTTTTTCCACACATAGTGCAGTAGTCGTTAGGTCGATTAGAAAAAACATATTCATCACTGTTGATAAAAAGGTGTTTTTTGTTCATTTTTTTCATTTAAAGACAAATAAACGTGTGAAGGTCAAAATTACAGAATATTCTGTAGTTCATGTGAAAACACTCTTACTGAAAGCGCAGCAAACGAAACACATGAAAAAATTTATCCTATAGCAGATTAGTCTGCACCATTTAATTTCTCTTAAAATCTGAAAGTTTATCGGAACACAACAGCTGCAAAAGGTATAAAGCGTGCATTTCCTGTGTGCATTCATAGACGGGCAACAAATTAGTAATAACAATGAATCATTTCGTTAGTGTATCGGATTCTAGTGGACCGATCGTTGACTTGCGGCGATTTCCTTGTATTTTCTAAGAGTTTTTTTGGGGGGATCCTCGTCTCTCTAAGGTTCTTTTCAGCGGTCCATGCTTCCCATGATTTGAGCAATACGTACGAAGATATTAATAACATTCATAAACATGCGTAACGCGTCCTGCACGTGATCGCCTGCCCCACAGCGAGCTCGTTCAATCATCGCCTGGGTATCGCTTGAAATCATGATCGAGAAAAGGGCCAAGCCACCGTAGAGAATAATCGAGTGCGCGATGGCTGTAGGGTAAAAAACGTTGAGGAGAGAGATCGCGACCAAGCCGATTAGCGCACCGTAAAGCGGCCCTTGCCAGGCTACGAGTGAAGCCCGAGGTGCAAGATAGGCCGCGGCGCTAAACCCGACGAAAATCGCCGCTGTCAAGACGAGCGAAGTGGCTAAAACCCCTTTCATCGCGGTCATCAACACCAGAGGTGCGATGGCCATCCCTTCGAGCAGGGTGAAGGCGTAAAAGAGGCCGACCCGCAGTCCAGCGCTCGCGGGCGGAGCAAAACTCAACCACAAGAGTGGGACAAACCCCGCAACCATCGGCAGCCAAAACGGGATAATCTTCGCGAGCGGGGTGGCGATCATCATCAAACTCCCCACCCCCGCCATTGCGCAGCCGGTCGCGAGCAGGCCGTAGACTCGCGCGAGATGCTCGCGGACGTTTGGCGGGAGGCTGTCGGACC